CCGTCGCTGCAAGCGCTGGAAAAACGCTCGAGAAACGCTGGTGAAGCTAGATCGATAGCTATGCTTCCTGTGCCCTCGCTACGCCAGCGTGCCGCTAGCGTACGCTGGTGACGCTGGGAACGCTAGATCGATATCTATCCTTTCCCCGACACTGCCGCTGGCGTACGCTGGAAGCGCTACGCTGCCGCAAAGTATAAACGCAGCCTAAAGGGAACCTGGAGTATGGTACAGCTGTTGCGCTACATTTGTAGCGCTACAAGTCTGAACGCTGCCTTATTGCCCTTGTAATCAATAGCTATCGTGGTAGTGAAACCGCAAAGCTTCCTAAGCCGAGTACACCGGAATATAAGCTGCTCTAAAACGTCGTGTTTTCGCGCAGTTCGGCATACCTTCGTCGTTGTTCATCGAAAGAGTGAGCACTGAATTCTCATAAAAACATATCTTTCAGAATGACAGACGATAACATTCGACAAGGAACTCGAGAAAATGTACATCTTCGATTTTTAATCCAAATTTTCTTTTTATTTTCGATTTTTAATCCAAATGTCTAGTCCTTAGGTCTATATTTATGGAGTTCCGTTTTCTCCCCATTAACACCACTGCCACTGTCCAATGATGTGCCATTATTGAAATGTGCTTATCTTCCAAGTATAGTCGAAAGCCGCGGTGAATTCACATTCACGTCATTTCGTCATGGAAAGCATACCGCACGTTTTCACGGAAACCTTACCGTGCATTTTCGGCCGCGGAAACTCCGGAAGTTGTGGCTGTCGTCCGGTCCGGAGCTAGCAAGAAGGAAGCTGATCAGAAACGCGAGTCTTGACTGATCCAGCTGTACATTGTGTCAATAAACAGTTCCCTTTGTGTGCCCCTCCAAGGCGATAAGTGCGATAAGCACCTCCAAACTAGTCGCAAACGAACAGAATACAACATCGTTGTGTGGAACACATGGGGATCGTACTTGGCCGCTAGAAAGGGGGGGGGGCGTATTTGGTCGTTGTTAGGCCGCTCGACCAGGGCACATCGTTGGTTGGGGAATCCCCAACAGGGGGGTCGTATTTGGCCGCCAGGAGAGGGGGGGGTCGTAATGAGTGCGGTAGCCAGTAACGAGCAGCGCAAAGGTGTCAGTGTGCTGAGTCCTGTACAGCGCGCTTGGCGCTGAGCCAACCTGTTTTTTTCGACAAACGACAGGACTACCATATCGTTCGTATCAGACGTTTTCCAGCAGTTGGTCTCCTTTATCGGAATCAGCAATTGGCGGAGCACGAATCTGGCGGCGTCGACAGGGACACGCTCCATCATACGCAACGGAAAACACTGTAAACAAGTGCACAGGTTCGCCATGGACCTCCCTGAATCCTATAGACACATTTGCTCGCGTGGACAGACATTACGCACAAGTTGCACCATCCCATCACCTCTGCGCGGACCTCAATGCGCGGCGCATCCAAAGTTAGCATGATTGGCGCTAAACAAACCACATCCTGCTCCTGCTCCACCACAGGATACGTTCTACATGTATTTCTGGCTATTCGAACACGCTCGCTTGAAACCGTACACAGAAAACGGACTTTCGAACAGTTCGGAGTGTTCCCCAACAAATCCCCAACGCAATTATCTCATGAATCCCGGGAACTTCAGAAAAGCTTAAGTAGTTTTGGAAAGAGAAAATCTTCTGAAATTCGACAACTATTGAGGATCGAGGGAAATATCTTGGTTCAAACCTGTACAGTTCGCACTGTAAAC